ACACAACACAGACTGCACAACTGCCTAGCAGAAAACCACTGCTTGGTCTGCAAGCATGAGCCTGACCTTCCAGTCATTTCCCATTTCAATAAACTTGGTCTTTAATGTATATGTCCTAGGTCTGCTGCAGAGCTCCCCAATGTAAGCTGCAGCAACAGCACGTTACTTTCTGTTTACGCACCTTACAGCCTTCAGGATGCAACGTTGAATTCAGACAGTGACTGTTCCCCCTTCCCCCCCGCCCTCTGGTTTTCTTGGTTTTGCTTTTTTCAGCAGCAGTCACATATATTCTATCATTAAAAACCTACTCTGAATCTTCTCTACAACCATTACCACTCCCATAGTGATAGCTAATCTCATATACTCAAATCTTTCCCCTCATCACCCCTTTCGTTCCACTTGCTGTTTCTCCCTTTTCCAACAGCATAAAACCCATCACTCTTCTACCTCACTTCGGTTCTGAAGAATTCACCTTGGTCTCAAAACATTAATTCTGTTTCACTCTGTGATGATCATAGAATGCATACAGTGTGGAAACAGGCCAATTGGCCCAACAAGTCTACACCGACTCAGCTACCCTGTAACCCTACATTTCTCGTGGCTAGACCACATAATCCACACATCCCTGGACACTATGGGCAATTTAGCATGGCCAATCCACCTAACCTGCACATCTTTGGACTGTGGGAGGAAACCAGAGCATCTGGTAGAAATCCACATAGACACAGGGAGAATGTGCAAACTCCACACAGACAGTTGCCCGAGGCTGGAATTGAATGCAGGTCTCTGGTGCTGTGAGGCAGCAGTGTTAACCACAGCCACCGTGCTGCTGATGATGCTGGCCCATAGTATAGATTTGAGGTAAGAGGACAGTTGAGAATTATTTTCGCTCTGAAGCTTGAGAGAGTCTGGAACTCACTGCGTGAAAGGGTAGTCGATTCAGGTACTCCTATAACTTTTAAGCAGTATTATTCATTAACTATTCATAACCACTTCCATCTAGAAGGGCAAGGGCAGCAGACACATGGGAATACCATCACCGACAAGTTCCCCTCCAAGCTACTCACCATCCTGACTTGGAACCTTGTCGCTGTTCCCTTCTGTCTTGCTGGAGCTCTTGCAGCTTTAACTGTGCGATTACCTTAGGAACACAGGAATAGGCCATTTGGCCCCTCAAGCCTATTCTATCATTCAATGAGATTATCCCTCAAATTTTTTTTAAAATCTATCATCCTTTGTCTGTAGAAATGCTTCCTAACATCTCTCCCGAACGGTCTGACCCGCCATCTCAGCTTATGTCCCCTAGTTTTAAAGCCCTGACCCTGTGTAAACAGCATATCTTTATCTACCCTGCCTTTTCCTGTTGGTACCTTGAAGACTTTGATTAGATCACCCCTTAACAGTTTAAATTTTAGACACAACAGACCTAATTTGTAAAATCTCTCCTCGTAACTTAACCCCTGAAGTCCAGGTATCATTCATGTAAATCTTACACTCCCTCCAAGGCCATTATATCCTTCTTACGGTGTGGTGCCTAGATCTGTTCAGAGTACTCCAAGTGGGGTCTAACCAGGCTTTTGTTTGACTGCAGCATAATTTCTGCATCCTCGAACTCCTGTCCTCCAGATATAAACGTCAGCATTCCAATTGCTTTTTTGATTGTTTTCTGCACCTGTTCATGATATGCACCTGAGCCCCCAAGTCTCTTTGGACATCCACTGTAGTTAATTTCATACAGTCTAGAAAGTACCCTGATCCATCTATGGGTGGCATGGTTGCACAATGTTTAGTACCACTGCCTCACAGCGCCAGGGACCCTGGTTTGATTCCAGCCTCAGGCGACTGTCTGTGTGGAGTTTACATATTCTGCCCTTGTCTGCGTGGATTTCCACTGGGTGCTCCAGTTTCCTCCCACAGTCCAAAGATGTGCAGGTTAGAATGGATTGGCTATGCTAAATTGCCCGTAGTGTCCAGGGCAACACAGTATGGAGCTGGAGGAAAACAGCAGATCAGGCAGCATCAGAAGAGCAGGAAAGTTGATGTTTCGGGTCAGGACCCTTCTTCAGAACTGGGGAGCTGGGAAATATATAGAGGGAGGAGGGGTGGGGCTGGGGAAAGGTAGGTGGGATGGTGATAGGTGGGTGCAGGTAGGGAGTGGTGGGGATTGGTCAGTGAGGTGGATGGGGTGGATAGGTGGGAGAGAAGATGGACAGGTTGTGTCAGGTCAAGGAGGCAGGAGGGAGGATATGTAGCACTGGGGAAGGTAGGTGGGGTGGTGATAGGTGGATGCAGGTAGGGGGTAGTGGGGATTGGTTGGTGGGAAGAGTAGGGAGAATGGTTGGGGAAGAAGATGGGCAGGTTGTATCAGGTCATGGAGGTGGGACTGAGAGGGAGGGTTGGACATAGGATGAGGCCGGGGGTGGGGAGATTTTAAAACTGGTGAATTCCACGTTTAGGCCATTGGGCTGTAGGCTCCCGATGTGGAATATGAGGTGCTGCTCCTCCAGTTTCCGGGTGGCGTCATTGTGACACTGGAGGAGGCCCAGGATGGACATGTCATCGAGGGAGTGGGAGGGGGAGTTAAAATGGTTTGTGACCAGAAGGTTTTGTCATTTGTCACATACAGACCGCAGGTACTCCCGGAGTCTGCACTTGGTCTCACCGATGTAGAGGAGGCTACATCGGGAATAACAGATACAGTAGACCAAGTTGGAGGATGTACAGGTGAACCCCTATCAGATATGAAAAGTTTGCTTTGGGCCTTGGATGAAGGTGAGGGGGGAGGTGTAAGGGCAGGTGTAGCACTTCCTGTAGTAGCAAGGAAAGATGCCGGGGGGGGGTGGGGCTAGGGGGGAGTGTGGAGCGGATGAGGGACTTGCGGAATGAGCGGTCTCTACTAAGGGCAGATGGGGTGGGGAGGGAAATATCTCTTTGGTCTTGGAATCGAATTGTGGGTGGCGGAAGTTGTGGGGAATGATACTTTGGATGCAAAGGTTGGTGGGGTGGTGTGTGAGGAACAGAAGGATGCTGTTTTATTTTGTTGGGGGGGATGGTTTGAGGGTAGAAGTGCGGGAAATGCAAGAGATGTGGTTGAGGGCATTTTTGATCACCGGAGGGGGGAAGTTGCTGTCCTTGAAGTAGAAGGACATCTGAGATGTCCGGGAGTGGAACACCGCATCTTGAGAGCAGATGCGGCAGAGGCAGAGGAATTGGGTGTATGGGATCACAATATTGCAGGAGGGTGGGTGAGAGGAGGTGTAGTCCAGGTAGCTATGGGAGTCGATGGGTTTGAAATAGATGTCAGTGTTGAGGCGGTTACCAGAGGTGGAAATGGAGAGGTCCAGGAAGGGGAGGGAGGTATCGGAGATGGTCCAAGTGAATGTGAGGTTGGGTGAAAGGTGTTAGTAAAGTTGATGAGCTGTTCAAGCTCCTTGTGGAACACTATCTGCATAGTGTCCAGGGATGTGTAGGCTAGATAGGTTAGCCATGGTAAATTTGGGATTATGGGGATGGGGTGGGTCTGGCTCGAATACTGTTTGGAGGGTTGGTGAAGACTTGATGGGCTGGAATGGCTTGATGGACTTGATTTTCTGCAATGTGGGGATTCTATGATTCTATCCCTTTTTGGTCAAAAATGGATAACCCTACTCTTATACTGAATTCCATCTGCACAGTTTATCAATATTCCTTTGTAATTTTATGCTGTTATCTATGCTGTCTACAATGCCACCTAGTTTGTGTCATCATCAAATTTGGATACGACTTTCATGCTATTGTTCAAGTCATTAATAAATAATGTAAATAACTGAGGCCTAAACATAGATCCTTCTGAGACATCACTGGTCACATCCTGTTAATTTGAGTGCCTACCCATAATCTCTACATTTTGTCACCTGCCATTCAGCCAATTTCCCAGCCATGTCAGTAATTTGACTTCAGTTCCCTAAGCTTCTACCTCCTACGCTCCTTCTCCATGCCATAACATGCCTTCTCCACACAGATTGCAGAGTTTCCAGAAAACAATTCATCATATCTCTTTCATTACTATTTACAGATGGGCAATAAATGCTGGTTTGGCCAGCAACACCCACACCCTGTGAATGAATAAACAAAAAAAAGGTTTATTACACGACAGAGACCATGACGCATAGGAGCATAAGTAGAACATTTGCGTTTTCTCTGTTGCACCATGCAATGAGATTGTAATTGATCTGATAATCCTCAAATCTACTTTCCTGCCTTATTACGTAACCCTTGATCCCTTGATCCCTTTCCTGACTAAAAAATCTGCCCCCTCAGCTTCGAACATACCAACCCAACATCAACAGTCCTCTGGGGGAATTAATTCCACAGATTCAATACCGTCTGAGAGAAGAAATTCCTCATCTCTGTCTTCAATGGATGATCTCTTACTCTGAGATTATACCCTTTGGTCCTAGACTGTCACACAAGGGGAAACAACCTCTCAGCATATACCCTGTCAAATCACCTCAGAATCTTATGTTTTTCAATAAGGTTTCTGTCATTGTTCTAAAGTCCAAAATAGGTACAGTCCCAACATAATCTCTCCTCATAATATCAGTTATCAACTTTTTTTGTGGAGAGAAAATAAAGTATTTAGGTGAGCACTTGGCCACCCACAGGCTAAGCACATTAAAATGGGATTAGAATAGATAGATATGATGGGTTCACAGCCTTTATTTGAGTTGTTAAAAACTCCATTGCTTTATAATTTGGAGCATCAAAGTCCAGTGTCTCCCTATGGTTTATAATAAAAATAACTGATGATTTGAAACAAAAACAGAAACTGTTGAAGAAACACAACAGGTCTGGCAGCATTTGTGGAGAGAAAACAAAACTTTACGTTTCAGTTTCATTGAACCTCCCTGCCTCTGGCTTCAGTGAGATCAAGGCCTGAGGGGCAGGTGGGTTTCAAAGATGGCGGCGCTCAGATGGCAACATAAGCATGCAGTTGCCCCGCAGAGGCGTCACGTCCGGCCCCCTGACGCCACAAGGCAACCGTGACGCAACGTCCGGTAAGATGGTGGCGCCCATGGGCTGAATGCGCTGGAAGAATCTGGAAAGGTGGAGAAGCTTCGGTGCAGTCGGCAGCGGGAGGAGGTGGCTGCACGGCCGGGAAGGTGACCGGGCCAAGAGGTCGTGGATATCGGGGTAAGTGACCCTCCCCCCTGCTCGGTAACGGTGCATTGAAATGGGAATGGGACCCCGTGGAGGTTTTGGGGAGAGGAGGATGTGGGGTGTGCGACCATTTTGAGGCGTCTTGTTGATTAGGGGGTGGGGGGAAGCGATTCCTTTCAGTATGGGCCTGGTTTTTGGAGCGGAGCAGAAAGCTATTTCTGCGGCGACCACCCCCCTTCCCTGGGGAAGGTTTCTGACCGAAACCTCAACTCCGTGTCTTCCCCACAGATGACGCCAGACCTGCTGAGTTTTTCCAGTTTCGGGCTCTCGGCGTCCGCAGTCCGTTATTTCAGGCAAACTGCGTTTCCACACTGACTTCGTTGTTCAGGAGCATTAAAGCAGCACGTTGCCGTCTCTACATTGAGGATCGTTCTTATTGAATCCAAATGGGTTTCGTTTTGGCAAGGAGGGCGATGTGTAACATTTGGAAGCCTTGCATCAACTGTTGAGGGTCTTTCCTAAGGACAGAGAGGTATTCTTAATCTGTTCAGACATGATATAATCTCTCTGGAGGAGTGGGAGTTGATCCTGGGCTTCAAGAGCATTTTCCTCCTTATCCCCACGGAGGGATATATTTTACAGGTTTTTATAGCTTTAGGTTGTAAACTGAAGTCAGGAAAAGGGATCTTGTGCCCACAGTCATATCATCCACAATCTTGTTGAGTGGCAGTGCAGGTTTGAGTAGCTACTTTTCTTTCTTAGGCAGCTGTCACACAGCCTCCGGGAATGGATAGCAAGTGGCTGAGAAATGTGCACTTGTGCGATAATTGTAATGTCCCTGTGGACCAGGAGGCATGGTTCAACACTCACCTGCTTTAGAAATGTGTAATAACATCTCTGAAGAGGTTGATTTGAAATTATATAACAATTGGTTGAGACTGGGCTGAACGGATGACTTTTTTTCTGAAATCAAGAAGCACTTTTTTTAAATCCTAGTTTTCTGGTTAGGTTCTACCCTTGAGATACTAAAGACCCAGGCAAAACAGATGAAACTCATGATGGATTTGAACAAGGGATTCAGAGAGGCAGGTTCAGTGTTGAATGAATAATTGGAACTGAACTGGGAAGAACCAATAGAACAAATTCTGAGAAATAGGGGTCTTGCATTTGAAAATTGAAGGATGTTCTGTTTGAAGTGTTTAACATGTTAAAAATAATTTGGATCAATAGAGAGCAACTGTCTTTGGGGGAAAACAAGGACAAAGCTCAGGTAATTTCAGAAAAAGCCCAGCAGTTGTGTATTTTTTGCTTTATGGGCCAAATTTCCTTGTGAAATCACGGTCTGTGCTTCCACCATTCTCGTAGGCAGTGAGTTCCACATTATTACCCCTCATAACAGAAAGAATAGTTTCTTTCTCAAATTTACTTTGCTTCGCTTACCTGAAACCTTTAATTGGTGCCCCTTCATCTTTACAAAATCAGCTGATGAGAACAGCTCCGCTTTTTCTACCTTATTTAAACATGTTATAATTTTGTACTCTTTCATCAAAATTTCCCTTGATTATCTTTGCTGATAGTTCGTTCAACTTAGGCGTATGGCACAAAAAGCTACTAAAATCATTTCAATTCCCCCCGTTGGAGCAAATCTTTATTTGATGTTTTCTGTAGCTTGGGCAGCCCTGAGTTATGTCTTGCCTCTTGAAGATGCATTTTTAACCGGCAGCATTCTATGCGTATGTCAAAATGTGGAAACAAAATGTAGGCCACGTAGTATTTTAAAAAAAAATTTTGTAGGATGTGTGTGTTGCTGGTAAGGCCACCACTTATTGCCCATTCTTAAATTTCATTTGAGTTGGTGGTGAGCTGCTGCCTTAAACTGCTGTAATCCACTTGGTATTGGGAAGGAAATTCCAGGATTTTGAACCAGCCACAGTGAAAGAATGCAAATATGATTCCAAGTCAGGACAATGTGTGGCTTGAAAGGGAGCTTGCAGGTGCTGGTGCTCCTATGCCTTAGCTGCCCTTGTCGTGCAAGGTGGTGGAGATTGTGGTTTAGGTGGGTGATGCCGAAGATACCATCATGAATAGCTGTATCATCTTGTAGAGGATAAGTGGTTACACTAGTGGATGGGGTGCCACCATCTGGTGGATGGTGAACTTCTCAAGTGTTATTGGAATTGCATTTGTGTTTGAAAGAATAGAATAGCCCTTTCTGTCACAATATGGAGAGTGAAAAGTTTATACATTGCCAATTACAGCACTGACTTAGATACAAAAGTGCCTAGTAACAAAAAAACTGTGCCAAGATTTTAGATAATACAGAAAAGAGTTCAGTACAGCAGACCACACTGGCACTTAGCTTCCAGTCTGCACCGGGCCCTGGCTCCACACTGTGCTGGCAACATGCCGCATTGGGAAGCCGCAGCAGGAGGCCTCTACGGGACAAGACCGCTGTGCCAGGCTGGGAGTTCGCCATGCTGGGAGGCCGCTGCAGGAGCTCGGAACATTGCCATGCCAGGCCGAGAGGTCCCTATGTTAGGAGGTCGCCATGCCATGCCAGGGGGCCCGTATGGGAGGAAGTTGCCTTGCCAATGCCAGGAGTTTGCCAGGCCGGGGAATGTCACTCCTTGCCAGAGGCCAGGAGTCAAAGCAAAAAAAAAGGAAGAAGAAAAGAAGCACTAGGAGGAGAAAAGAAGAGCAGGTGGAGTGGACAAGTGTCCTACTCTGCCATCTTGCAACAACAAAAAAAAAAGTGGAGAGTATTCTGTCACACTCTAGGTGGTGTACAGGCTTTAAGGAGTTGAGAGATGCATTATTTACCTTTGAATCTTTAGCTGCTGAGTTGCTGTTGTAGCCATAGTATTTGAATGGCTGGTCCAATTCAGTCTCTGATCAGAGGTTAATACCCCACCATCACCCTGCCCTCTCTTGACTGGTGCGCAATATGAATGTTGACGATATGGGATACAGCAATGAGAATGCCATTGAATAGGAGATGGTTAGACTCCTTGTTGGTGATCATTACCTGGCACTTCTTTCTATGAGGAGGTTGTGATGTTGCAAATGCAGGCGATACATATAAAGCTTTTCTCCTTCATGTTTACTGACTGACCTGCTGTGTGTTTGTCTTGCACATGCGATGTGAGCCTGAATGTTTGCATATCTGGGCTTAGGAATAAGATTAGACAAGACGGCTAGGTCTGTCTACAGACACTATGTCCGCATGACAGGACAGCCCTTCCCTGCCTGTAATCAACAATTCTGAGACAATTCATGTACAACAGTATCCTTTCAGGAAAGAAATCTAACACTCTTGCCTGATCTGGCTTAGATGTGACCCCGAAACTATGGCACTTCTAAGACCGAGATTAGGAGAAATATTTTTCTCTGAGCACCATTAATATAGAACTCTCTTCCCCAGGAGGTCATAGAGGCTGGGACTTTGAATTTATTCAAAGCAAAGTCAGTTAAATTTTAGATGGACAAGCAAGTTGAGGATTATGGAGGACAGACAGGAAAGTGGAACTGAGACCACAACCTTGTGAGCCATGGTCATTTAAAATATGCAGCAGGATCAAAAGGCTAAACAGCCTACACCTGCTCCTGGTCTTGTTTTCCTATGTTGCTGACTCTTAGCTCTGAAACAACCAAGCAATTCTTTTACTCGAGGGCAGTTAGATATGGTAACAAATGCTGGCCTTGCTAGTGACACCCACGTCTCGTGAAGAATAGAGAGGATAAATCCCTTTTTGATGACACTGGTGCTTTTCGTCTCAATGGAGTGGTGGAAAGAATTAGAGTGTTTTCCTCACATTCCCTGCTTGAATGAAACAACAAGTGAACCATTTCCAAATTCCAGCACCGTTAATAAAAATCAGAAAATCAGCCAGTCTGGCAGCATCTGTGAAGAGAGAAGCCGAGTTATGAGTTCAAGCAAATGAACTTTTGTTAGAGGTATAACCAGTTTTGGCAAGCACAGAGGCAGAAAAACTGGGCTTGAGGAGAGAGAGAGAACCAAAGGCAAGGTCTAGGATCAGAAGGAAGGCAGGGGAGATTAATCGCAGTGCAAAGCAAAATCAGATAATAGGGCAAATAAACAAAATCCAGACTTTAGTCTGCTTTTCCCATTTACTTTGAGTATTCCTGGCATTTTCTATTTTGCTTTAAAAGGTTGTTGTTCGGTTTTCCTTTCTTCCAGATTGAGGCTTCTTAAAAATGGCAGACGGTGGATCTGAGAGAAACAGGCAACATCCCAGCAATCTGCAGGGGCTGCTGAGGCTTGCAGTGGAAGCTGGTTCAGTGGGGGATACAGCTCCTGAATTGCATCCCATGCCAGAAGAAGTACGTGTCAATTACTTGTTGTTTTTTTAGCCCACCTCCCTGACCATCCCCTGCCCAATGGCCTACTGTTTAAAAGGCATAACAAAGTTAGGCAGGTCAGCTCGCTTGGTACTCGAACACTGGCATTTACCAAGTTTGCTGTTGTGAGCTGGATAGCAATAAAGATATAATGGAGCATGTTGAAAATGCAGTAAAAGCAAGCACCATATCTGTGAAGAGAAATGGCAAGTTAACCTTTGAGTAATAGCCCATCATTTGAACCATGCTTTACTCAATGTTTCCAAAGCTTATTAAAATTGTAGGATAATTGTAGGATAACGATTAGCTTCAGTATAACAGCAAGTCCTTGTGAAGAATGCATGTGCAATGTGGACATGACCATAACCTGAGGCTGGAATTGAACCTAGGTCCCTGGCTCTGTGAGGCAGCAGTGCTAACCACCGAGCCATCGTGCCGATATTCAATTTAGAGGCCTATTCATAGAACAGGTAGAAAGGTTAAGTATGGCATGACCTGCACAGTTGTTGTCTCCTATAACTTAAAGGTTCTCTGCCTGCAATAGGCTTTGCAGGCTCACCTCTTGTTTCAACTTCCTAAATTTCATATTTTCCACCTGAATTTTATCTTCACCTGAGAACAGCACAATCCAGCAATTGGATTGGGGAGTGTCAGATTGATGTTCAATTATGTACTGCTCTGCTAATTCAGTGTCTGAAGTAGACCAATGATGCAGAGCCTGACTTTTGTCCTGTGCATGTGTTACTGCTGATGAACCACTGATTTTTCTGTGTGTCTCTCTTCCTGTTTGCTCCCAAAGCGGAGACAGTGGCTGCAGGATGCACTATCAGATGTATTTAATGGACAACTGGATGAACTGAAACAGATCAAGGATTGTCTTCAAATTCTGAGTGATACATCTGAAGATGACCTGAACGAGGATGGAAGGAGGAGCAATGCACTCGACACTGTAGCAGATCTGTGCGAAAACCTGGACAATGCAGGAGGTAATTGATGCTGCCTTTGAACCTTGGGAGTCATTTTCCAATTTCTAAAGACCTGTGGAAAGTTTTAGTATTTGTATAATGGCTTTCACATCCTCACTATATCCAAAGTACTTTATATGTGAAGCTGCTATTGTGGAGAATGAATATGATTGATATTCTCTATATTTTTAGCCCCGTATTCAACTGAGGGAGGTTTATTAATGCACTTTTTGCTTTATTTAGATTTCTGTAAGCTGGGTGGCATGCAAATTGTGGTCCAGAACTTCCTGGAATGCCCAGATCCAGAGCTTCGATGGCGAGTGGCAAACCTCATTGGCACCTGTAGCCAGAATAATCCCTTTGTCCAGGAGCATGTGTTGAACCTGGGCACCATGTCCAAACTCCTGGATCTTCTGAACAGTGACAGCAATGACATGGTGCGAATCAAGGCCCTCTTTGCTGTATCATGTAAGTGCGGCCAGTCTTGCCAGGATGTGGTGGAGAAAGATTTTGGAGTAGCCAGTAACTTTATTTCTTATGTTAATATCAAGCTTCGACTGTACTAGCTCCATAGCTATAAGAATGACTTGCATTTATTTAGCACCTTTCATGACTTCAGAATGTCCCAAAGTGTCCACAGACAATGAAGTATCTTTGAAGTGAAATCCCTGTGGTTATTCGGGGGTTGGGGAAAGAAAAGCAACACAGCAAACTACCACAAACAGCACTGTGATAGCTACCAGATATTTTGTTTCTTTGTTGATTGAATTAGAACAGAATTAGAGTTAGCTTTATTGTCACATGTACTGATATGAGTACAGTGTGAAAAGTTTACAATCTGCCACTTAACGATGCCACCTTAGGTACATAGATACCTATGTACAGATTCTTGAGTGTAAATTCTTAGGGAAAAAGTTAGAAAATAAGTAAAAAGTCCAGCATTATAGACATTCAAAAGTACAAAATCATAGTAATAAATTAGAAAAATAGAGATAAAAGGTTCAGAATAAGAGTCCTTCCACGACAATATATTAAAGGAAAAATAAAGAAATTAAAAGAGAATGTAAGACAAAGTGCACCTAGTCTATTTCACGGCTCTGGGCTGGGTGAAACCACCACCACCCACCCACCTACCCCGAATCCTGAGCCGATCAACGCAGACAAAAACAGCCACCGAATTGTGGGATGACTAATGACCAGGAAGACCGGGAGAATTCCCCTGCACCTCTTTGAAATAGCATGGAGTCGTTTGTGTGAATCTGAGATGACGGGGGGCTTAAGTCGCCTTAGAATGGATGGGACTGTCAATGACGAGCATTTATGTAGGACCTTTTATTGTAGAAAGGATCTCCAAGGAAGAAATATACACTGAATAGAATGACAAGAAAAGACTTTGTTGATGGCATGGATTTCTCTCTTGCTGTCTTAAGGGTAGAGAAAAGGTTTAGAGAGTTAACATCAGAGCATTGGACTAAATAGCTGATGATATGGTCACCATCCTGACGCACAGGGCAGGGATCTGCACAAGAGGAGACAATGTTGCAGTGCCAATATCAATGGACTAGTAATCCAGAGGCAAGGCTAATTTTTATTGCATATGTGTACTTTATTCATAAAAGCTATCAATAAGCATATAGTTTTAAACAGACTTTGTAGAGAGAGAAAAAAATGGGAATTTGACATTGCTCTAGAGTTTTCCTGCAGTTGCAAAGCAGAGGCATTTTCTACACATGTAAGGGGTCTTGGATCTTAACAGACTCTTGTTATACTTTGGCAGAAAGACCTAAGACAGTGATTGTTTCCCACTGCGCCTTGGTGGTAGCTGTCTTACGTGTGTCCCTCAGCACATCGTCCTGGACCTTGGAATGTGCCAGTTTGCAATGCTTGGTAAAAATCATGTCTTTGCCCTGGAGTCTTTCACTGAGTTGATGGTCCTCAAGGCACAGTCGATGCCAGAGATGCAGACTGAACTCCTGTCCCCAGAGCATTAATTCTCACCACAGCAACTGGTGGGCTTTAAATTCAATTATTAAATTGGGAATTGAAAGCTAACCACAGTGATGGTAACTGTAACTAGTGTCATTGTCATAAAAATAGATCTGGGTCAGTAATGTCTTTTAGGGAAGGAAACCTGTCACCCTTTACCTAATCTGATCTACATGTGACTCGAGATCCACAGCAATGTAGTTGACCCCCTAACTAACCTCTGCAATTGTCTAGCATGCCACTGAGTCCGAGGGCAGTTAGGGATGGGCAACAAGTGCTCTTGTCAACAATGCCCATATGGTAGGCATACATATAACTGGGAGTTTGGGCA